AATGAGAGCAACGTTGCGTTGTCCATCGAAGTACGCTGGACAACCTCACAAACAATCCTCTGCGACTCGCAGACGCTTGTTCTGCGACTGAGAAGATCAGACGAGGGCAGTTCGCGGATGAGAAGATCAGTGCTGAGAACTGTATGAGAGAACAACCTCAAGACATTGTCAAACAGTCCAACGCATAGCTCATTTAGGCATCTATAACGTCACTTTAAACCGCACAGTCTTCAGAAGACTCACAACTCCTCAGAAATTCATAAAACTGGTGGGAAACTCGAAGAATTAATCTCATGGTCGTCTCTCCCATAACTCAATATCTTCCCGAATAATCTCTTCGCAATCTCGACGAGAGGTCCAAAACCTGATCCAGTTGCCAATTCCACAATAGATCTACGTGTACACGAGCGCATTATTCACCATATACGAATGATGCCAAGTGAAAGTAATATGTGGGCTATATGACGAGCAATAGCTTCAGTAAATGCCACGGAGAATTCAACTCAGGTCTTGAATAGTAGGTATTAGCGTGCCTCGTGAGAAATTTGGTTCCACTTTTCCACAGAGAAGCCGTGTCTCGCCTTCGAAGCTCACACAATATATCAGTCTAGGCTAGTCTCAAGCTAAACACATTCGAGTAGAGCTCGAAAATACTCGACAAAGACAACTACAATCGAGTCATCGTTAAAGTATCAGTCACTTACACTCTAAAGTCAATATTCTCTTGTCCCCCACGGCAGCACTCATCAATTCCATTCAAAGAACTGAACGGTTTAGTGACCAGTCGCACTGCCCACGACGATCGTTTACAATCAGGCCTATCACCTATGATCTTGCCAACTGAAAAATCAAGCCCTGCTCCAATGCACGGTGTGTCTAGGCACTCCTTCGATCACCTGCTAAATAAGCATAGAGAGCTACTCTCAGAGCTGATCCGTCGAATATAACAACAAACCTGAAGTGATCAAGAGTTGGCAAGCTAGCATCGTCTCACTGTCCCACTTTGGTTGCAATAGTGACATTGGCAATCCCTTTACTCTCATGAATTCCACACCAAGAGATGTGTTGATAAGCTGGGGTAATCTGGGCACCACGCTTGCATGAACAGCAGAGTCGAGGTGACAAGGCCTAAAAAGCAAGCTGACATCAACAGAATGATAAGGATTCGGCAATGACCGTTTTTATAGCCATGCCGAGTGAAGGGTGTCGTACTCGAGCAATGCTGTCGCTATTTCTCGCCACTGAGTCTCCATTAACCCAGCTGCAATTCGAGGTAGTATTGGGATCCTGAGGAATATGAAGATCATCATAATCTCAGGGAAAGACAGTTACTCCATTGACCATAGTGAGCGTATTCCATAGAGATACCATGGTATTACTTCTTCCCTTTAATTGCTATCAAGATGTTACCGCTCTTGGCTGTCCGGGTGAAGTCTCTACGTGCCTCCTTGAAGGCATGAGATTCATCGTCGACAGCTGGTAGTGCGAGGGTGAAGGAACCTACCTGGCATCGATCCAGTGCGAACTCAACGAGTATATAGGGAGTATCAAGACGTCGAATAATGGAAGAGCAGCATCATATTACCTTCGTTTGAACTCATCTCTGGTGGACATTTCTCATGTCCCGATCGATATATCCACCAAAAGGCAGCAAACCCTACAGCAGCGACAGCAATCAGGACCGCGGGGCTGAGGAGGCTGCTGCTCTCTTGTACTGGTAATGACATGTCGAGGGAATTAGTTACACCCTTACGAGAATACTTTACTCAATGAAGTCTCTTTCAACAGCGTCACATAACAATCTCATTATGCTCAAGTCGAGCTAGACAGGGTGATGGATGCTCACATTGTTCAACGTACATCAGCCCTATGTAACGAAGTGCCGAACCATCTTACACAACGAGCTCTGTACATGATCCACAGCTTCTGCAAGGAAGGCAGGTGGCGACTTTGCATCGATTGGGCGCGGGTTCCAATCCCGGTGCGGGCGTTTTACCGTAATACCCGGTGTAGGCCTTATGGTCTTGGAGTTATGATCACTGAGCTATCGATTCGCCTTGAGAACTGCTGATCGTAGTGTGACTGGTCGGCTGCCCATACATGCGTTAATTGGTAATGATAGTCAATCTGGATACTCCTCAACTATAAAATGTAGACCGTCTTTGCTCATCGTATAATCTATTCAATCATGACACTTACGAGACCGAGACGATGTCGTTTTGGCACTTCCTAAAGATGTAGATTCTCCTTTGCTAGCATTATTCAATCTACCATAGATTGCTGATGATGATATCTATCAGTTAGTAATCACTGTCCTCTCTCTCCCACCTTATTGTGGCCGCCCTCGATATGGAATCAGCAACAACAACTCCAACCATTTCAACACCTAGTCCGGCTAACTCGGACGTCACCTCCATCAGCTCTACTCTGAGATCATCATCGTCGTCATTAGACCACGAACAACAGACCAATGAGTCGACGCAGAATGAGCCTCATCAACTATCCAGTACCTGGAGTTTCTGGCTCATGTATCAGGCCCAGACTAAGGTAATTGATAGGGCTCCCTAACCAGTAACATCAAGTAGTAGTGATCTTATCTTCAACTGTGTGAATCGGAATGATTGATCTAAGGAGTGAGCGACCATTAGTCAGTGCGTTACTCTCTGTCGGTCGTATATTGTGAGTAGTTCCTGTCAGGATAAGAAAGACAACTGGAAGAGTACACAGAAACGTGTTCTCGACTTTTCCACTGCTGAAGAGTTCTGGCGCGTTATCAACAACGTGTCGAGCCCTAGCCGATTGAGTTACGCCGATTACAGCGTGTTTCGATCTGGTGTAACCCCGATGTGGGAGGATCCTGTCTGTGCTAAGGGAGGCCGATGGATACTGGCAGTTGATCGTTTTATGAGGAGGGATGCTCGTTCGAGTGGTCAGGAAGAGGTAATGATGATATTGCCGGTTTTCGTGAATACTCGTCCTGCGTCGCAGTGACTGGATCTCAATACAATCACTGATTTGCGAGGTTGTAATTGGTCGTGTTTTTCTTTAGGCGCTTGATGAGAGTTGGCTCAACGTAATGCTGTCATTGATTGGCGGCTCAACCTATGTCGACGAGGCTACAGGAGAGGATATCCCCGTTTGCGGCAGCGTATGTTCTATGCGGAAGTATAACTGTAAAGTAGCTCTTTGGGTTGGTACCGCTGATGAAAATATCTTGATGATGGTGGGGAGAAGATTTAAGGAATCTTTAAAGTGAGTTCAAATCCATGGATGGCTTCAAAGAAGTCTCGTTGTTGTTCAGGCCGCTCATTGATTACATGACGGATGTGAGTAACTGTACTACTTCATCTGAAGAGGACACTACTTCTCGCCCCAACCGTGCTGCAAAGGCGGTCATTCGCCCCAAGGCTATCCAATTCGAGTTCTTCTCTGACGATAATCATAGTGGTCAGAGAAAAATAGAGATTCCATTGATTGCTGATGATAATGAGTGATAGCCGCCGATGAGTCGTCGGTTGGACGTGCTCCTATTAATATTAATCCAATTATCATCGATCTCCTATTATCATTGTATATGTACCTCAGCCGTAGACTATAGTCTGTCGTAGTAGTAGTAGCATATACAAACTGTCAGCTTGGTTGAACGCGCTTATTCTTGGGATTTTACCTCGTGAAGACTTAAAGTGGAAGGAATGTTCGTGCTTTGTCCAGTCGTTCAGAGGTTGGTGATTGCTAACTTGATGCACTTGTGGCACTTGTGGATTTCTTCTTCGGAGTGCACGTATTTGAGGGTGATATATAATGTTACTCGATTGCGTATCCTCTCTATTTATTGCTCTGGTGCACTAATCATATCTTTGCTTGATCAATACAAGATACAAAACAGGTTCGGTTGGCTACAACTGTTATTGCTCGCCAGTATTATGATGATGCTAATCGTTACGTATACTTAATATTCTACCTGTGCTGTGTGGAGTGTTTCAATGATGTTGGATTGTTGGGAACTTTTCTATGATTACCATCAAACTTATGTGATAATCATACCGCTCGACTAGCATCTTCCGATGTAGCGCCCATGATAGCCTCGAACTGCTAGGCTATATCGTTCATTTACCGAGAGAACGGCGATCATATATGTCTCCTGCATTTAACGACTCCTCAAGAGCAGGTCGTAAATATGCCGGCAACTCCTTAATGCAGCAGCGGTTATCTGCATATCAACCTCTACTCAGCCCACGGTAATAATGGTATACCAACTTGCAGTCTTTTTGTGGTTCAATGCGGTATTCTATCGTTAGGTGGGTGATGACCTCATTCCTAAGCGTTGGCATTATCCTCCTGGTGGTCGGCGCTATATTGTCTGATGTAATAACAAAGAACAGCAACAGACTAAATCTTTTTATAAGCATGGTGGTATTGCTATGAGCTTGGGGACCTCATCAAATAGCAGTTATTCTACCTCGTTTATGGGGGGATCACTGCAGAGTCAGTTTTGCATTCGTTTGAGATTGACTTCAATTCGAGTGATATACGACAGTTTCCCATCCTATGATCGATGCTCCGACCAATGATTCTCCTATCAGGTCAATAGCTCCGCACAAGAGTATAGGAAAGATTACACTACATTGGCAGTTGACGGCGTAGCGGTGATCGAAATTGAAATTGATGCCCAGTTGAGGGCCCCCATATATATGTAGGTGGAATAACTCCCTTTATGCTGCGTCAATGCATTGTCCTGTTGTGATATGAGCACTGTGATACCATAATAACATCTGCACAAGGATGGCCGTAGTCTTGGTAGTTGAAGTATGTCAGGTATTATGAGTTGTCTAATTTCTACCAGAACCATCGCCTGTTTATCGACTCGAGGTCCGATGAGCAGCTGGCAGGTGGGGTCTTTGTCGGGATTGCTGAAGAAATTGTTACAGTATAGGGGATATCATTCAGATAGCTTTAGATCCGTCCAGAGTGATAGCGGCGGCGGACCCACCGGCAGATTGCGAACCAGCAGTGAGGAATGGAGTGAGTGGGAAGATGTAATTCCTCGATGGAGGTTCTCCACTAGGTTGAGGTGTTTCATTTTGGACAAGATACTATCCATGTGGACTGGTGGCTCGGGCGGTGTTCAATGACACCTTTATAGCGGATGTACGCCGTAATAATTCAGAGTGGAGAAGAGCTAAACTGAATGAAGTGTGTGAAGATTCCAAAGGGCTGGCTCATTTCCTTTTTTTCTATCAGAATAAGATCATCCATTCACCACTGTTTTCAGGCTGCGGAAGTTACTGCATGGCAACCTGACCTGAAGTATAAATTCAAGAATTTGATTCCGGATGAGCCTGCTGTAGCTGTCGAAGGTGATGTTACGAGGGATGCTAATCGGAACGATGAAGTCTTTGATATGTGGTTAACCTACATCTTCCCACCACAAATCTGCGTGAGTCCGGTGGTTAGGCTTACACGTCTATGGGGACACTTTGTGACGCGGCGCGGGCGTAGCGAAAATGAGTCCTCTCCACTGTGGAGAGCTGGGGGAGCTGCAAGGGGGAAGCTAGTTGGCGAATAGTGGAATATTGCGTGGAACAGTGTGGAGTATATGGGGTCCAAGGGAGATGACATCTCAGGTGCCTTCCATGGTCGTGCGAACTGGTCGGTATGAGCCGATATTCGTGATGAGTCGGTTGGATGGGCGGGGTAATCCGATAGCGGCCTGTGACCATTATAATGGGGGAGGAGGAGGGAGCCGATGTCGATTCACTAAAGTAATCCATCAGGCAGTTCAATCATGGTTCGTCATTGGTTTCTCGGACGGCCTGAAGTATTCCTCATTGCTGATTCAGGCTGAGTCAGGTCCCGTTTGGAGTGTACGGTTCGGATGCCGAGTTCCCTTGTACTGCTGCTCAAGGGTATACTCGCCTGCCCAATCCTGCTGGTCAGATGTCGTGGTTGGAGGGGTCCTTTTATGTGGTCATTCGCAGTGTCTCAGGATGGGGTGTTGAAAACGGTCATTTTGTGGCGTGGATGAGGCCAGCCGGCACGCCTACGTTTAGGAAAGTGTATGGACGTATAGATGAGGAATTGCAAGTAGGAGCAGAAGACTACACGATGAATGGCTCTTTGTGAATCTGTCAGGAAGGTGATGTCATTCGAGTCACGGTGTTTGATTACTATCCAGTCAAGTCCTTCGGTGGTAGAAAATCGATCGTCGTGGCGAGCGCTTCTTGGTCTGGTGGTTTGAATGGACATATTTCTCCGGCATATCTTGGAGCCGGTGGGATATTATTGGCTTTCGTGATCGTTTTTGGGATGGCGCACTTGCTGTTGCCGAGGAAATTTTTTGATACTGATTACAGGGATTGGGAGGATTGACAGCAGCATCAGGTTGAGGGTTGAACACATGCTCATGAGTTCCCCACTGGTGTTCAGGGCATGCGTCTTGTGCAGATGAGGTGTTGCGTGGGGCTATACTCTCATTATACTTGTTGGTTTTTGAGCTTCCTTGGAGTTCAGCGTGGGTTGTTACAAAGTTGCTGTTTATCCCTTTATATATTATGGCTCCTACTCCTGAATTTGTGAAGAATAAGTCTAATCCAGTTGGATATGTGCAATCGTCTGTGCGTGACTTTGCAGCTGAATCGAGGCGCCTTATACAGAAGTGCAAGAAGCCGGATGGAAAAGGTGATTTACCATTCGTCGTTCATAGAAGGTTTTTGAGTATTCGATTCAACGCTAGTGTGGCTCGTTTGTTGTCAGTTTGCTTGGATCCGTCATGTTTGTCCTTCAGAATTACAGCGTATGATGTATGCCTGTGGAGTCGGGTTCTTCATAATGGGCTTCCTCGGTTACACTATCGACCTTGTCTTTATACCGATTAACAACTTGATTATGAGCTCCTAAGCAACAGCATCATCTCAAATAGTGAAGACGACGATGAGGCATTGCACTTTGCATTCACGATGGCTCTTGTTGTGTTATAACAATTAATATGATGGTTGATGCGTTTGTTAAAGGTTATTCACTGAGGTGTCGTCAGGGGTTACTTTGACATCGAGTTGTGAAGGAGGGCTCTCCCTCTTGCACACTTGTCATCATCATTATCACAGCTAGTTTGTCCAGCACCCATTCATTATGTACACCGATGTCGGCGCCGGCGGTAGCAGCAGCAGCAGCACTGTTGGTTCCAATTACCTCTACGGTATCCCATCGTTACAACGACAAGAAGGTGCTGTACCCACCGACAGGCAGCATCATCTCGGAGGAGGAGGATCTGTTGTTGGTGGCTTTCCTTCCATAGAGAGTAATAGTGTATATCAGCCTATGTCGTCTGTGGACCCTCCGTTCAAGGGGGCGTACAAGACTGAACTATGCCGCTATGTTTTGGCTGATACTAAATGCCGGTTTGGAGCTGCTAGATGCAAATGGGCTCATTCGATAGAAGAAATGCATCAGCATAGGAGGGCCATATTGAATCAAGCAAGAAGACACTACGATGGTGGTAAAGTATATCGTCCACGGGCAGCAGCCGAGCCAAGGCCCTTTCACCCAGCACTGTCAGTGGCGCAATTGCCATTGTCGATCTGGGATGAGTTACAGAGCTGTTCGGCGAGTTCAACACCCCCTGCTGCTAATGTGGATGAGGGTATATTTGGCACTTGTTCGTCCGAGTCCCCCGACTCTATAATGGATTGTAAAGATGTGTTCATTGAAAGCTTCCCGACTGCCGAACCTGAGGATATCTTGGCATGTTTGGCAACACTAGAGAGGGATATGGAGGTGCCTCCTCTGTCGTCGGAGTCGGGACATGCGTGGGGGAATAATGTGGCAGTACCACAAGTGATAGAGGAACAGCAGCAGCATCAGCAGCAGCAGTCAATGGTTGAAGGGGTCAGGTGTGGTGCTGAAGCGGGTAGAAGTAAGGGTAATAATGATATTGACGAGGGGTGCTCTATTCAATAGTGAATTCACGACGACGCCATGTGGCGGAATAATCGATTATAGTTGTAGTGCAAGATTACATGTAAGTAGATTTTCTCGTCTTTTTCTTCACAAGAGGTGAGCGTCCTTGGCTTGACTGGGGAGGCTGTCCATCCGTCTTTTCAAACTCGCTTCTCAGTGATAATCGATCACTAGGGCGTGCGCCCCTTCCTGTATCATCATCTATAGACTACTTACCGGCTCTGGAAACAGAGTCGGAGCATCTGTGATGGCGATTGAAGTGCACTGGTATCAATAATTGCGTGCCTGATGAAAGTATCGCCGATTGTCACAGAAAATGACTGCCATTTTTGAGTGGATGATGATTATTATTATCATTATTATTCAAGTAGCACTAAGTCTGAGTGGCATTATTATCATCATCATCCGAGGGTATCTTCGTGATAATAATAATAACAATGATCGATTATGCCATAATCTCATTAGAATATCTTTATTGTATTGATCAAGGATAAAGATTCTAGAAGATTCTATTTTCTCGCCGATTTGGCGATAATTTCGAGATACCCCCATAAACTCACATTATTATGGTCTTGGTTGTCATGATGGCCACCACTACCATCATTATCATGATCGCGTTCATATTTTGATATTAAATTCATCACTAGTAGTAATAACCATTGCGATGGAATGTTTTTGCATGGACATCTTATTGAAGAGGTGATTGTGTTGAGAGTACATCACGGGCGGTATCATAGAAAGCGGTCTCCTGAGTCCTACTTAGGATTATTCACTTTTCAGTGGATGGATGTCCAAACACGGTTGGAGATATTAAATGAGGTCATACCGTTGGCAGTATCTTTCCAATATTGTGCACATCGAAGAATACTAACAGCTGAGGATGTAGCTATGGCAATGGAGTTATTAGGATACACTCAGGTGATGATGATGATGCATTGAATAATGAGGTGGTGCGGTTACACTCGCACATGAAAAGTCTATGTGCCACCGTTTCCCTCGTTTGTTGTATCCGCTATGTCCGGGACTGTCTGGGCATGCAGTGATAAGTCGCATCCTATTACACACTGTGTGGGTATCTATCGTGTGAAGTGTGAGGAATGCTTAACATGTGAATGAACATCAGAAGGCTCTTGTAGTATGTACGGTCTTGGACTTGGATCCTGTCAGGTGTCTATATTATCGCCATTCTGGCCAGATGTCTGCTTTGAAGGTCTGGAAGAGGACATTGAACAGTCGATGGAAGGAGGTGGAGGAGGGGGATCACCAGGAGACAGCAATAACGGTGATGAGGTCTCTGTGGAGGAGGATGAATATATGAAGGTGATCAAATCCCAGTAGCGGCCACTGAAGGTGGACCAAGATCTACGTGTCATTCAGCACGTATCTCGTCGAAACAGAAAGATGGAGCGGTATCTCTTCGGGCGGAACCCCACGGACGACAAAATGCTGCGAGAAGTACATTTGGGCAGGGTAAATCCGATAATCAGGGTAATACATATGCAATCGATTAGCAGGGCGCGCGCTATGTTCGTTGTATGATATCAGGCCAGGCTTGTGCCGGACCCTACGCTGATATGTCGGGTATCGGGGAGTAGTGAGTGGAAGGAGGAGAGGATTGCAGAGGATAGTAAGAGTGTGTTAGATAGGCCGCTAGTAAGAGTGTTGTTAGATTATAAGGTTGATGGTATTGGGCCCATGGATGGAATTCCTAAATCGCTATCACTCCTGTCTGAGGCTGAACAGTCCTTCGCCTCGGCAACCAATGACCTCTTACAGAATATTCCCGCTGGGGGCTTGGCGACGGTAATATAACATCGAGTGAAGGATAAGTCATGTTTGTCATCCACGTAGATATATCAACTGCTGGACTTGGTTGCCAATGACCAACATGGTAGAATAGCCCTTCTATTGATAGCGCGCTTCGTGCAGTCAACAGTTGACAGGTAGATCGGCTAAGCTCAGCTGGCATGGATGGACTCTAGTGTGGTAGATTCGTTGGTATTGGGGGAATCGGATCCATCCCTCTCCGCTACATGCGCCTTATGGCCTTTCTTGCCCGAGGCAGCGTACTGCTATCTGCTGCTGCTGCTCATCATCATCATCCTCTCCAGCAGACCAAGGACGAAGATGGCAGTGCCATCATCACTGATGAGCGGTTCCAAGTGTACTCCTCTCAGTCTACGGTACTCACCATCATCATCATGTTGCGTGTCGACAGGTCACTATGTTCACTTGTTGGGAGTCTAGCAAGACTAGCTTTGGACACATCCTTGCCACAGTCGATGGCTCAGAGTGCTCAGGGAGGAGGTTATCCAATGTCCCCAAGTAGGCCTCCATCGCTCCCTTGATGGAGGGGATCCTCTTGCTTGTTCAGTCCTGCCACCGAGAGGTTCCCAGACTCCTAGTGCCGCTCTAGGAGGGATTCCCAGACAACAACAACAGCAACAACAACATGGTGGGGTCGCCGCAGCAGTGTGTGACACTCTTCAATTGGTGAGTAATGCGCATGCATCCGAGCTGAAGGGCTGACGGTCGCTGGAATGTGAGCAGAATCTTCTTTCAGGTGAGCTTCCGAGATATGTGTAGTAAATGCTTCAAAGAGTGTTCCCCCTTGGTGAAAACCATGGCCTCAAAGTTGACCCAACATGTCGATCTATGTGTGGAGGACAGATGGCGAACGATAAGGAAGAAGAAGAAGAGTGTAAGTGGATCGATGCGGCTTAGTAGAGCACTAGTGTTATTTTTATTTCTCAAAGACGATGATGTGCTGCTAACATCCGATTATTACTTTTCTTACTCCAGGAGAGACAACGTCCAGGGCATTATCCCTGTACTTAGCTCATGCCCATGGCGTGGAAGGTGTTTGGGAGATCATCTTGTCACTCTTATTATCAGGCCACCACCCGTGCAGACCTGATGGCATTGGTGAGTATCATGAGTCTAGTGAAGGAAGAGAACCTCCAGGCTGGGGATCTTTGCTCTCAGTGGTTGGAGATGGCTGATAACACAGGTGAGTCAGGCTCATCACAGTAGGCCCTATCCCGAGCTATGGCTTCGTCGTTGTGCGCTTTTAGTAATATGGTTGTATTAGACATGTTGTCAGGTGAGAAGAGTAGTTCTCCACCAGACGTGTCGGAATACGAGCGAGAGTTAAGTCTAGTTTACTTGGAGCAAAAAGCTAAACTATCCGACTACTTCTTGGCCACGAGCCTCATACGAGAGAGGATGGGCATCGGCGATGATCGTTTTAATGCTTCTTTTCTCTGATCGATAATTGTGTTGTGTTGATGAATTGAATATTCACTCGGTCGGTAGTGTAGGATAGTGTACCCCACCCAAAGGCTCCGATAGCATGTTATACTCGATAGGGTAAAGAGTGACAACTGTGACGGGTAACGGATCAGTCTTCCCTGTTGCAATAGGTCCTTCCCTGACTACAATCTGATGTGGGCAACGGTTGGTTGTGCATTCTCTTCGTATCTTCATGTATGCTCCCTCTATGATTTAGCAACATGCCTGCGTCAAATATTGACGGTTTGTCGACTATTGTAGCGAGAGTGGTCGGATAGACGCGGGTGACAAGAAACATATTCCTCTCCAAGTATAGTTGTCCGTCCCCCTCGTCCTCTCCCGCTCCACGGAGTTCCCGTTGATTTCCCTCCATCTAACCACTATCACAGTCTGCAGTTGTTTGGTGTACTGTAGATTCAGTCATCATCAGGAGCATATTCTGATTCTGGATCTTCACAACAGCTTGGATGGCGTCGGTGTAGAATCTACACTGTAGATTGGACCGACTCTGAAGCTCTGTGGGCATCTTATCTGTCCGTCTGCATGGTCCTCCTACCATGCTTTCGGAGGGCATGATGAAGGGTGCTCAATCGACCCAATAGAAACATCTTAGCCGCTCTCGAGTGATGAGGTATCAAGTTATTGATACGTTTGTATCTATGTCGCTCTCTCGATCATCATTCATCCCTCCATCACAGGGGCCTGTTACCCTCAATATTGAGCAGCAACAGCAATTGAATGATCTTGTAGAAAACTTGAGAGATCAGCTTGTCAGGGAAGCAGAGCAGAGACACCAGGTGGTTCGACGTGTGATGGGCAACTCGTACGTCCGATCATACAGATTTTCGTCGTGTGATAATCGACTCTCCTATTCTTGGAGGAATATCGTGTATGTGTGTTGTGTTTAGACCTCCGTGCAGTCCCATACCGGTGGTGTCGTTGTTGTTGTTGTTGTTTAGCTCGCGGAGTGGCTGTCAGCAGCCAAGACAGAGTCAAGAAGGCTTCGTAGCTTATTGGATGAACAACAGCAGAGGCTGCAAAATTCGTGGAAGCTCTCACAACGATATGAGGATGAACTCAAACAAAGTGCAAGAGAGAAAGGTGAGAATTTATGCGAGTACTTGTGTTTTTTTGTGATTGGGAATTTGTCGATGTATAATGGACACTGATATCTAGTCATATTATGCTGCTGCATATCGCCTCCGTTGTATGGCCGCGTTGTTAATCGACTTCGCTAGCTCGACCCGCGGGAATTTGTGATCAGAAACTTGCTAGTCCAAGTGTTCAGAGTACGCAACGGCTGAATTGAGCAAGTGTCAAGCAGAGTTGACGAAAGCCCAGTGCGAGATAGAGTATTTCGATAAGTGGAAAAGCGAAAACATTAGTGTTGACCGAGCACAGCTATTGCAACAGATCGAAAGGTGGGATCCTTCGTGACTAATCAAGCTCGCCACTTCCTCCCTCTAACGCAGTCTGGAGACCCAAGTAAGACTGGCTCCACATGGGGATGTCCAGGCCCTCCTTGTGGAGCGTGAGGACCTGAAGGATCGTTGTTCAAAGCTCGTGAGGCTATGCAGTCCTTCCTTCCCCCGAGCATTCATAGCACGCTATGGCCTGCATGGGCAGGAGGCTAGTGTGTGAGTGTATCAGGAGAAGTCGCTGGCGGCATTGACTGTTGAACTGAGAGAAGCACAAATACAGAATGATACCATTTTGAAGACACATGTTGATGAGTTGCGAGATGAGAAGGCAAAACAACAATGGTATACCATCACGGTTATATCTCGTAAATGCTCTACTCATCCGCATGATTCAACTACCTACGAGTGGAGCCATAGCGCTATTCTTTCTGATAGGCCCCGTTATTACCGTTAACGTCTGAAATTGAGACTAAACAATAGAACTGACATGTTGACAGTGTATGATCTTAGCAACGTGACATTTCATAGCTAGCAGCCGGTAGAGCGATTTCAATAAAACCAGGGGGCTCATATATAAATTGGATCAAAGGATCCCTCTCGTGGAGAATCCATAAAATATCCCAGAGAGAAACTCACTCTGCGTCATGTTCGGATGTTAGTCATCGGCAGACTAGCTCCCAGAGATGCCCGGTTAGGTATCTCATGGGCGGGAATCCGAATGATGAAGTCATGAAGGGCGCGAGAGAACTCCGCCAACTACGAGTCAAATCGGGGGCTGATGATAAACTGAAAGAGGAATTGCGAGTATGTGTGAACTATAGATCATTCAAGAGTTTCCCGAACCGAGCTTTGAACATGAGAGAGTTCCCGAGTCTCTGCTAGCGGAGAAGCTGAACATGGGATTATATGATGCCTCTTAGGGTAAGGTTACCGAACTTGAACAAAAGCTTGCATTTTCCGAGAAGAATGGCGAGGAGCTGAGGGCAGAGCTGAGAGAAAGGGAGCGACACGGTCCACACTTGCTGCCACGTAGCGAGCTGCAGACGGCACTTGAGGAGGTAAGAGGAGCCACTCAGGGCTGCGGAGATATAGACTATATAGACGGCCCTCGAGTGCGTTCTGCAGCTTGCTACTATATCATATAGTTTATACAATATGTTCGAGACCCAGTGAGGATGGTGAGTTTCCATATAGTCACCACGGGAGGGGAGATTCATCAGCGTTACATTGGACCCGGACACTTGAGAATTGGAAAGTTTTTCTTATAAATGAAGAATGTCTGATAGTTTGTGGATAGCTCTCCACAATGTCATGGGCAATCCCTCGTCTGGTTTCGTCAGTATTTAAATAGTATTCATGCTTAGGAAGACCTCGCTTGGGTGTACATATTCAGGCTCATGCTACAAGCTGCAAGGTGTATGTAGAGAACTCCCAGTTGCGGGATTATATTGAAGCGATTAAGTCCAAGGCCGGTGAGCATCCATATGAGAATCACTGTCGGACAGACCTCACTCTGGCAGAAAGCTATTCAGTAGCGCTGGAACAAGAGAAAATGGCCCGCGATGTTGCGGAACGGCAGCTGCGAAGTATCAAGAGAGAAGGGGAACTGGCTGCTGCGAGTGATGAGCGAAGGAAGATCCTCGAGAAACGTGAGGTCTTCGACTGCGTCCTGTAGTGACAGCTCGTGCTACTCTGTACTCTGTGGGCTGATGATTCTAATCGTATGGGCATGTCCGATGAACAGTCGTCATTGCCAGATTATCCACCAATCAGATGATCTGATTCAGATCACGAGAAGGCATCAGGAATTGCGCTGGAAAAGTACCGGGTCGCCCAGGGGAAGTACGAATCACTCGCTAACCTCGCCACAGAGTCCATCGCGATTGGCTTGGTTAAAGTAAGGCTACTCCGAGGGAGGGATGGAGAGGAAGTAAGACCAGATTATACATCTTGTGGACTTAATCTCGCTACGTATTGCTCGCATCGTATTAGTATTGCTGCTGAGGATAGGAATTTCACAAGATCTCGTGCGGGCGCGGGCGCATTGCTTGTCGCGCATTACTCGATGAGTAAGGTTCACTCATCGAACAATGCGCAACGAGCAGCTTATTCAGTAAGCTGCTGTACATCCATCCGGACTTGCTCGCATAGGCCACTCCGCCCGAGCCGCGTATCGTCATCGTTGGACAAGACAGAATGTTGAAGATTTACGCTAACGATATGAGTAGCATCCTTGTACAGGCCCGTAGAGAGGACCTCAAAGTCATGTACATTGGTGAGGCAAGGCTACTACTCAAGCATACGTGGCATCGTTTAGGCAGCAATTCGATGGACATCGAGACTCCCTTGGATGGTCTATTCCGTTTCATATATCCCAACAACAGTACAGCCCAATTGTGGTACAGAGCTTCAAGCCGATCCGTATCAT